ATTACTCCTGAAAAATCTTCCTTTAAAGAAAGCTCCATTAGTAAAACTTTCAGAGGAGCAGCAGGTTTAGTCTCACCTTCCGAGACCCTGAGAGGGGAGGGGGATCATTCCATCCACGAGGAACAGAGGAGTCGTAGGCTGCTGGAGGCTTTGTTGGAGGCGGCGGCTGCTGCATCTGTGGCTGACTTCCATACATGGGAGCCCCTGGAGCCTGGGATGCCGGAGTGAAGAACTGGGGCCCTGTAGGTGCCGGTGCAGAGGGGAGGGAGGGATTAGGAGGAACCTGTGCAGGTCCTCCAGGGGGAGGCATGAAAGAGGGTGGCTGATTCTGCATGCTAGGGGGCTGGTTTAAGCATGAGGTATCAGAGACATAGCGGTTTGTGCCTCCTCGTCGCAAACCTACAAAAAGAGAGAAAGAAAGAGGAAGTAGCTTTGTGCCCAGTCTTGTAGGGCACATAACAATGAGATAAGCATATTTTAGTAAAAAATATGGATTACAAGAAAAGTTTATTACATGCAACAACTAATTATTCAAGTAACATTTTTTTTATGGATTAATCAACTCTTTCCAGATATAACTTGAAGATCCAGAAGTCATGCAAATTACCTAAATTCTCATCTAACTTAATATGAACCATCAACTTAATGAACAATGAAACTTGCAATTGGCTAACTTTAAATTATTCTTCATACATGAGCTTAAACACTAAGGACCATACTGAAGACCATGATAATACATAATGTATTATCATGCATACAATAAGATACATAATTGCAACAAAGTAAGCCTCACATCTACATACAAAATAAGAAGTGTTTCAATACATTTTGCATTTTAAAAAGTGTGCATCTTGTGAAAGTACTTGAGCTTTTTATAAGGTACCATGAATATAGTAATTCTTAAATCTAGCTGAAACCCACAAAAAACATTACCTTCTTTAATGCTATTTATTCAACAGATTAAATGTCATTGCATATATATATATATATATATATATATAAATATATATATATATATATATATATATATATATAAATATATNTGAGAAGAGAGAGAGAGAGAGAGAGAGAGAGAGAGAGAGAGAGAGAGAGAGAGAGAGAGAGAGAGAGAGAGAGAGAAGAGAGAGAGAGAAGAGAGAGGGGGGGAGAGAACAGAGACAGAGACCGAGTGAGAAAAAGAGATTATAAGAGAGAAAGATGCCATAGAAAGAGAACACATGTGCACAAGAAAGTACACATACAAAAAAAAAAAAAAAAAGACAAACAAAACAAAAAACCAAAAGAAAAAAGACAAATTCCGAACAGATAAAGCGACAAAAAACTAGAGAGAAAAAAATGTGGGATAACAGACGGGCCAATTATCACCAGAGACTGCTTCTACAGACCACCCACGAGAACACAGCCCCATTAAGATAACAGCCAAGATAAGCCTAAAACCCACCGCACCCATACCACAGAAAGAGATAGTTAAAAATGAGTTGGAAGTAAATTAGAAATATATCATTTAAGATTTCATTAAGAAACAAAATATTATATATATATATATATATATATATATATATTTATATATATATATATATATATATATATTATTATATATTATTATATTATATATATATACATATATATATAATAATATATAATATTATATATATATATATATATATACATATATACATACATATATACATATATACATACATACATACATACATACATACATACATACATACATACATACATATATATATATATATATATATATATTATATATATATATATATATTATATATATATAACACAATCTATAACTAAACAGACAAGAATACAAACACAACAGAGAGAGAGAATGAGAGAAAGGGAGACAGGGTGGGAGAGAGATAATGGGAGGATGGATGGATGGATGGATTGGAGGGAGGGGGGGGAGGGAGGGGAGGGAGGGAGGGAGGGAGAGAGGGAAGGAGGGAGGAGGGAGAGAGGAGAAGAGAGAGAGAGGAGAGAAGAGAGAGAGAGAGAGAGAGAGAGAGAGAGAGAGAGAGAGAGAGGAGAGAGAGAGAGAGGAGGAGAGAGGGAGAGAGAGAGAGAGAGAGAGAGGAGAAAGAGAGAGAGAGAGAGAGCGAGGGATGGGAAGGAGAGAGAGAAACAGAGACAGAGAGAGAGAGAAATCGTAGACGAGAAACCCAGCCCGGTATCGGCCCGGATGTAATTTACCGAATCAGCATCGTTAGACACAAATTACACATTCAGAAATTATGAGGGACTGTTTCACACACAAACACACACAATATACCTACCAAAAATCCATAGCATTAGATACACTACCTACTACCTACTTACCTACCTACATACATGCATACATACACAGTAAATACACACACACTACCCTCACCACCCCTCCCCCACCCCAAAATCATCACCTACCTACTTAAATACATACCTACACACACACACACACACACATACATACACGTAAATACACACACACACACTACCCAACCCACCCAACCCACCCCCACCCCACCCTCCACCCCAAAATCATCAACCTACCTACTTAAATACATACCTACATACACACACACACACATACATACACGTAAAATACACACACACACTAACCCCAACCCCACCCACCCCACCCCACCCCTCCCTCCACCCCAAAATCATCACCTACCTACTTAAATAATACCTACACACACACACACATACATACATACACGAAATAACACACACATACCCCCACCCACCCCTCCCTCCACACCCAAAATCATCACACATACATGCATACACGTAAATACACACACACACACTACCCCAACCCACCCACCCTCACCCCACCCTCCCTCCTTCCACAACCCCCAAAATCATCGCAACAGAAGACACACGCAAGTTACACACACACACACACACACGCCACATATCGAAATTCCGGCATTACGTTCCGCCCAGAAACTGCGGTATTGGTCGAGCCGCCGCCGTTTGAAGCCGAACCTTCTCTCATCGCCGACAAATGGCTGCTCGAAAACTATGCAGACATCGAGACAGGATTCTATTACGGAACCAGTTCGACGCAGCGGGCCTAATTGCGTTCGGGCGGTGCGGGTAGGATTGGGGGAAGGATTGGGGGGAAGGATGGGGAAGGGGGAAGGTTGGGGATAGGTGGGGAAGGGCGGGGAAGGATTGGGGAAGGATGGGGAAGGGGGAAGGAAAGGTGAGGGAAGGGGGGGGAAGGGCGAGGAAGGAATGGGGGATAGGTGGGGGAAGGGGGAAGGAAAGGTGAGGGAAAGGGCGGGGGAAGGATGGGGAAGGGGGGAGGGAAGGTTGGGAAGGACTTGGAGGAAAGGGTAGAGGGAAGATTGGGGAAGGTGGGAAGGATGGGACAAGGCAGGGGAAAAGATGGGGTAAGGATTCGGGAAGGGCAGGGGGAAGGATAAAGGAAGGACTGGGGAATCGAGACCCGCACTCCCAGTCTATATAACCAAGCTTTCCATGATTTTCCCTAGGACATAAGCAATCATTCCCTTCTTTTATACTTTACGATCTTCCCTCCTCTTACTCTTCACTCTAATTAAATAAATTCCTTCTCAGACTATTAATTGATACTAATGGAACTGTCATCTGCGACTACTCCGTCACTGTTAGACTATTCCACGGACCACTAAAAATAACTAAATAAACAAGATATTCTTTCTCAAATAAAGCATTATATGTTGTTTTCTTGCCGCATTTTTTCCATATTTCCTCTCTCTGTGTTTGGAGGCAAGGCCAGGACTCGTCTGAGAATATCGCAAATTGATACAAGGGGATTTACCAACTACGTTAATAAACTTGTCAAGCATTGTGATTTATATTAGAGTAAAAATACCTGACTTAGAATACCAACACTCAGCTTTACTTGTGTTTGGGAGGAAGGCCAGGACTCGTCTTGACGTGAAATCATCATTAAAATAACGAACTCTGCTTTCCCCCAAATTAATTGTTAACATTTAGACAAAACTATTTATAAATGAGCATTATAATTTACTCTATTTGTTATAACACTATATTTTGCTATATTGATATGCTTTTAGATTTATGAAAATATGTAAACAAATGTTTCAGTGACGGATATGCATCTTTGAAATCAAAAAACAGGGCACCTTTTTAATCTTATTTTTTCATGTATATATATGTGCATGTATATGTATATATTTTTTATTTCTTTTATTTATTTTTCTCTTTTTTTTTCCTTTTGTTGTAGACAAACATTCTACAAAAGCGAACTTTTAAATTATTCTTCTATTTGAACCCTGAGTCAGCTCTGGGTCAACCTAAAGTGAACGCTTGGTGAGGTGTTGTTGAACTTTGTGTGAACTCCAGGTGAACTCTACGTGTCCTTGTAAGTGAACGGTACGTGAACTTTTGAATATTACGTTGAACTCTACGCTTAACTCTATGTGACCTTGAAAAGTGAACGCTATGGTGTGAACTTTTGATGAACCTTAGGTGAATATTGGGGTGTGAACTCTCGTGTGAACTCTGGATGCTCTAACTTGGCAGTGACTCTCTGTGGCCAACTGGGTGAGATGTAGCGGCCTTTCTAAGTGAATCCTACAATGAAACTTGCGGCGGAATTCTAATGAAAACCCTAATTAGAACTACTGAGCGAAATTCTAAGAAAACCCTAATTGAACTCTGGGCGAATTTCTAAGTGAATCCTAATTAAACTCTGGACGAATTCTAAAAAACCTAAACCCCTAAGTGAGGTCTGGGTGCATTCTAAGGTAAATCTAAATACTGAACCCTAAATGAGCTACTGGGCCGGCGGCGGAATTCTAAAGCGTGAAGAACCCTCAGTGAAGCTCTGGTCTGGAAAAATTTCTAAAGTACATTTTCTAAGTGCAACCCCAGTGAGTTTCAGATGCGGGAAAAATACTAACTAAGCTACATTCATAAGGGAAACCCCCTCCCCTAAGTGACGCTAGATTGAAAATTCTAAGTAAATTCTAAGTGAACCCTCCCTAAGTGAGCTCAGATGAAATTCTAAGTAAATTCTAACGTGCAACCCTCCCTAAGTTGTAGCTCAAGATGAAATTTCTAAGTAAATTCAAGTGAACCCTCCCTAAGTGAGTTCAGATGAAAATTCTTAAGTAAATTCTAAGAAAAATATAAACTGAAACCCCTCCCTAAGTGAGTTCAGATGAAATTCTAATGTTGAACCTTTAGTGAGCTCAGATGAAATTATAAGAGAATTCTAAGTGGAAACCCTAAGTGAGCTCTTGGCTTGGAATTCTAAGTGAATTTCTAAGTGAACCCATCAGTGAGCTCTGAGGGGAATTCTAAGTAAATTCTAAGTGAACCACCTCCCCCTAAGTGCCTCATATGAAATTCTTAAGTGAATTCTATGTTCGCAAACCCTCAGTAAGCCCCGGGAGGAATTTCTAAGTGAACTCCCTAAACTGCGAATTAACTCAAGGACGTTTCAACTCCTGAGGGGCG